AAAAAAAAAAAAAAAGAAAGTGAACTGGTACTTTGTCTCTATTGACCCACTTGGTACTTTTACTTCTGTGTGTATAGCTCTTAAACTACCCAGTTCTTCTCTAACTAGAGTGTGCATACAGAGCCACTGAAGGTGTGGTAAAAATGCTGATTTCTGATTTGGCAGGTCTAAAGTAGGATCCCTCGTGGTACTGTTAGGTAAGTTTGGCATTGCTAACCGCAAGGTTGAGGACTCAAACTCCCTAATCACTCTGCAGGAGAAAGATGAGGCTTTCTGCTCCTGTGGAGGTTTACAGCCTCAGGGGCCCTATATGTGGTACCCATGAGTAGGAATTGGCTTGATGACAGTGAGTTTGGTTGTTTATTGTTGTTGTTGCCGTAGTGCCCTTGGGGGGGATAAGGTAGGGCTCTACTGACATTCTAGGTGATATGCATGTTGCTGAACGATTCTTTGAGGAGTGAAGGTCTGCACACAAAGGGAAAGCCTCTGTAAAAATAGAGAAGTGGTGGAAGACCTTATTCTGGGATGTTGTTTTCCCTTTTAGATAGGCACAAGTCTGTAAAGTTTGTACAAGATCATTGAGAATTATTAATACCCAATTACAATTAATCTGGCCTTTAGATTTTTAAACCATGGCCCAAGTGTCTCCAGAAGCATTGTTTCTAGGTATACTGACAAAATGCTTAACTATGTTCTTATTAAAGTGAACTTGATGTAGTGATTCTTGATACAGAATTAGTCTAAGTACTGCATGGTTGAGTAAATTGCCTGCCTCACTCTGGTTCCTCACCTGTCATCCTACTTGGGTAGGGATTTGGTGATACCCCAAGTCCAGCTGGGTCACAAATGTTAGTATTTCCAGGAACTCCTGCTTGATTTTCTAGTTTCGGTACGTTGGCTTGGGGAAGGTCTGAACTCTGATTGGCAGCTGTTGACTTGTCTCTCCAAAGGTGCTCCAGAAAGGCAAATGCTGGTGGAAAGATGACACCATGGCTGGCAATGCCACCCTCTCCTTTTGTACCCGCATGTCTAGTCTGTTCTTAAATCTTACTGGGATTTTCTTTTTTAAATGTTTTAGATTATCTGTACCTATTTCCCTAGTTGTCACCTGTCATAGCCCTTTCCATCATGATCCTATCCTAGGCCCTAATCAGGACAAACTTGAATGACTAGACTGTTTTGTGACCCCCTCTGCTCCTTCTCTTCCCATCCCTTACTTGAACGTCAGATCCTCTTCAGCAACTGATTTGATCTGTATTTGGCTCTAGTCCCAGCTTTTCCACTCACTGGCTCTGAGACCTCAGGCAAGTCACTTAAAGGTTGCTGGGCCTAGTTCTACCCATTTGCAAAATTAAGGTCTTGATTGTCTTCACAGGACTTCCCTGCTCTGAGTCTTTGTTCCTACCTTGCTTGGATACCCAGTGTCTGGGATCTTGTAGGAGATCTGATTTCCTTCATGCGCTCCTTGGGCAGTCTGCCAATCATTCCCTTGTTCTAGTTGCTTCTGCCACTCTTTCCTAGTCAAAGCTGCCAGCCTGTCCTCCCTCACACCCAACATCAGCATTCTTTTGCCTCCATGTCCTCTGCCAGTGCCATGGTATTTAATTAAAAAATGCCTAGAATTCTCGAAGAAGTCTTCTTTGAGTACTCCAATGTTCAGTGTTTGCTATTTCCCCATGACTGAGAGACTAGCATGTATACAACTGTGTTTATTGATTTTTTAAGTGTGTTTATTTCTAAGTTTTCTTATCTGATGTGTATTTTAAACGTTTTTTCCCCTCCTACTTACTGTAGCATTCTCTTTTGCTTTGCATTACCAAGGCAGCTGCATGAAATTTGAAGGTGAATCGTGTAGCTTACCTTTGACTAGAGTGTGGGGAAAGTGAGATTAATGCTTCTAGCTCTCTTCTCCCAAGGTCTCCCATATCTGTAGGAAAGCAACTACCTTGAATTTCTTCCTGGTTTAAACAAAACAAAATAACAGGTTGTTGTCAATTAGTCTGACTCATGGCTGGTCCATGTGTGTCCAAGCAGAACTGTGCTCTGTAGAGTTTTCCATTGCTGAGTTT